GAGATAGAAGTAAGAACGATAAAGTTGGGGGGGGGGGGGGAGGGGGCGAATAATGCCACAAGGGCTGGCCTGCCTTTCAAACTTGTAAGTGATTTCTAGGGAGAAAAAAAAAGTTAATCTAATTGCCTCTTTCCAATTCACCATTTGCCCCTGACCTCCACCTCATAAAGGGCACCTGGGATCAGCATGAACAACAGGAGTTGAGACTGCTGCTACATCCAAAGTCCTCGCTCTCTTTGCTCTTTCTAGAAACATCACTGAAAGACCGTGGAAACTTTTCTCCTTACATCTTTAGCAGCTGGTCAGGCTGGGAAGATGAGTTACTCTTTAGAAATAATTCAAATGAGATTGCAAAGAAGTTCAGCAGTTTGTTGTAGCAGTACAGTGGCCTAATAGGTTAGGTATTGGCTTTCATTGTAAGGTAGGTAGCCTGGGTCTGGTGTTTAGTTGACTAAAGCCCTGTTCCCATGAGTTGGGGCAAAGGCTAACTTGCGGTGAAGAGAAGACCTCTGCAGTGACACTCAACTTTTGTGTCATTCAAGTGGGAAACTGGGAAATGCTCTTTGGTTTCAGTAGAAGCTGATCTTGGCCAAGCAGTGTTAATGAGCTCTCTTTCATTCACTACTTCTAAATGTGTTTGAAATTTGAAGTAAAAGGTCTTTTCTGTGGACTTTTCCATTGTTGTCATTTGTATTTCAGTCCCAAGATGCAGAACCACAAGTAGACCTCATCATGCTGGGTGCTAAGGCTTCTCACTACAGCATAAATACTGTGAACAAAATGTTTCTTAGGAGCTTTTGCTGCCTCTGGTACTGATGGAGAGTGAGCCATGAAGAGGCCATGCAAGCAGGAAGGGTAGAGGAGAAGGAGAGGGAGAATAGAAAGACATTTGTATTATGTAAACGTTTAAAAAAGCTCAGGATTTGGTGTTTTGGGCAAAAATGTAAGGTGAACTTCATGTAAGGTTTAACTTACACCTTTCTAAGTCTCCTGCTTTTCTTCAACAAATTAATCCCTCCTGTGAGAATTCAGGTGTTATGTATACTTGTGTGGTTTGGGGAAAGTTTGGGTGCAGATTAAGTTTGGAACAGGCTGAAAGAGTATGGTCTATGTCAGAGTGAATGTCTGTTTATTAGCTGGACTGAAGCTAAATATAATCCTAAACAGTCCACTAACAGGCAGATGGGTCTAGGTACACAAAAAGTGACCTTGAGTAACCTTGGTCTGATGTGGAAAATCCTGTACCGCTCCAGATTTGTTAAGGAGGTGCACAAATGGACAGTCTGGGGGGATTTGTGATGCACTGTCATTCAGGGACACAAGGCTCCTGGTCCCCTGCTAGGTGCTCTCCATCTGAAAGTAGTAGAGGCACAGCTGGAAGCCAGACATAAATCTGTGATCTCCTGGCCTGTTGTGTGCCAGACCTGAAATACCCTGGAGCTGGTGTTCCATCACACATCTCTTCCCAAGGTCTGGTAAAACCAGATGAACTTGCAGAGGAAAGATGTAGTGGACTTACAAGCAAAACTAGCAGCTTTTATACTATTTCTTTGCCTTTGTCCAGCGAAGAATTCACGGTGGTGTTAACCTTTAGATGCAGACAGCCATGAGATTGTTTACATGATTCAAGAGACGCCTAAGCTTAAGTGCTTTGCTGGACTGGGACCTGAAGTCTTTGTCCAAACCATACTGTTATGAAAGGAAAGGTTCTCACTGGCTTTGGTGGGTGCTTCCCCAGGACCTGATCACTGACACCAGTTGTTTCAAAGCTGTCTAAGAGAGATGGATGCCAGTGTCACCCATCTATATGGGAACTCTGCATGTGAAGAAGGTGGTACTAAATATGGCTGAATGAGCTACTTTGCAAGTCCTGCATAATCTGATTTATGCTGCCTCCAAAACCTCTGACTTCAATGAGATTTACCTCTTTACAATAGCCAGCAATAAGCAGTCACGCTCATGGGTATCTTGCTTTATGGGTAAAGAGAGGTGATAGGACTTCAAATGGTAAACCTTTTAATACCAGATATGCTGGTGAAAATTGGCAAGATTGTCCATACCTAGAGGCTATGGTTGAAATCTTTTAGATTGTCTGTTTACCAGTACAGAGGGGAAAATGTGCCTGGACCTCCTGTTACTGGAGAGGAGAATACTCACTTTGTGACCATATCAAAATCAGCTCTTAAGCCTGGGAAAGCTGATCCTGGGAAGGAAAGGAACTCACAGCAAGGGATCTAACTAGCACGCTTCTATCTGGTCTGGATTTAGCCAATGCATGCCCCTGAAAAATGAAGCTTTTTCCATGACCTTGTGAGGAGTGCAAAGGCATGAGAAAATGTTATATGACAGGGTGGGGAGATAATGATGTTGAACTTCAAAATAGAATTAACTTGGGCCAAGTTTTGAATATAATCTCAAACAGTTCCCTTCAGCATTTCTTGCCCCCAATCTCCTGTCCTTCATGACAACAGCAAGTTTCTTTAAGCAGTGTTTAAATTGTGCTAGCCAGTATCTCGCCACCTATGGTTGATGTCTTGCAAAAACCAAGGGCAAGGGGGCATTGTATTAGGGCAGCCATTCAGTTAGACAGTGAGGTTGGTATTCAAGATATTGGTCGAGCTGAGCCTAATTTCCTCTTTCTGTCCCATGCCCTCATCATATTTTTCTGCCTTTTCACTGTTTTACTGGCTTTAAGAATTCCCACAAAGAAAGCTGCAGGTGCTCAAGTTACAGCACTGGAAGCCTTAACATGGAAAATACCAGAGACACTTATGTAAATACAAAAGGGGGGGCAGTTAGCATGAATGGAGGAGGAACATGTTCAAGAGTGCAACTGGACCACAGCAAATGGTCTTGCTGAGATTTTGAACCAAGCTGGGGAGATTTCTCCCTTTGCTGTCTGTATTATGCCCACAAGATAGAAAGAAATTATTAAAAAAAAAGAACCTAGCTGGAAGTGGTCAATTTTCATGCTGCTGTTGTTCATGGTGCCAAAAATTGTAATGACTGAGATCTTCCTCGTTGCCATCTTGCAGAAGCTCTCCAGATATTCGTCTCGCTGCTGTACGTACATGGTGTTGTCTGCCTTGGGGGTTGTGATCAGCTGGTTGGTGACAGAGACAAAAGAGCTTGTTTAGTATAAGGAATGAAGCAGATGAGTATTTTACTGAAGAAGAACTAGTCACTGTCTGCAAACTGAGCTTTCTTTTCCATAGAGCTGTTGACAGCTTTGTAGCCTTATTTTATTTATTTGGGTTTGGAGTGTACCTTTAGGCCGAGGCCTAACCCAAAGGTGTTCAACCAGCCACAGGAAAACCTTAGGAAGCAGGGCCAGCTGGTGGCACCACCTTCGCCGCCGTCTCTCCACAGTGCTGGTAGGAGACACGGCACTGGGTTTTACAGAAAACCATGTACTCTCCTATTATCCCTTGCTGTGCCAGTCCTGCCAGGTCTCCTTCACAGCCTTCAGTGGTGCCATGAATCTAGGATTCCCCCGTACTCACTCTCAGTGGGAGCACTGGGAACACGGCAGCCACTTTGTCTTCATCCCATGGTCCAGGCAGGGCTCCCGGTGGCTGTTTTGACTGTCAAGGGGTGCGTACAACTAGGGCTATGTGAACACTTATGGAACTGATGGCCATATAAGAAGACCTTGAAGACTTGCTAAGGCCACTGTAACCTCATCTGAAAATTGCTGATTCAGCTTTTGTTTGTTCTAAGCCACTTTGATGTCTTACAGGACTTGTATATGCTGTGAAGGCATGGCTGTGGGGGAAGAGCAGGAGGAGGAACAATTGCAACAAAAGTATAATGATAAATACAATAAGTATAAAAATCTCTACATTTTATAGTACTTATTTCAAAGCCTCCTAACAATTGCAAAGATTAAACTTTCAAAAAATTTAGAGCACACAACTTAGATCCTTCATCAGTGACTGAGATGCAAATATCCAAGGGAAGGTGTGTGTGTGTGTAGCAACATGCAGTGGTCCTATGCGGTTTCCAGCAGAAGGTGGAGAGGAATGCTGCGGCTCTAGCAGTGTAATCAATTCTAACTGGCAGCAGTGAATTGCAATTGACAAGATGCCATTGATCCCCCAAACACAAAGGGATTTGGAATCTGGATCCAAATTTTATGGTTTAAGGTCATAAATAACCACTAGAATCCTTCAATTATAAACTTATGCTTTAGTCTGTAACAGGTGCAATCATCTTCTCGCTGCCTTCTTAATTTTGTAGGGCCTAGAGGCTAATTTTTATGATATACTCCTTATAAATCCAGTTTGTCGATGTACTGAAATGTAAGAGGCATTTCTGGGCTTATAAGATCTGACTCTCATTTATGCAAAGCCCCCTAGCATGACTACAGCATTGGGACATGAAGGTGAATGAGAGTCAGGCACAAAGAGGTTTTGATTTATGGGGCATAACATGTAACACTTTGTTTTTAAATTGCACAGAAATGCTTCAAATGAAAGAAGGATCATGAAAAGGATTAGAGGACTGAGATCAAAACCAGACCATTGGTTTGTATTGTCCTCCTTGTTTTAGAGGCCGTAAGCAGGAGCGCACAGTCAAGTCTGAATTTGATCTAGTTCATCCAACCTTGTAGAACAAAGCAGGGATCATTTAAGAGGCAAAGCAAACTTCAAATCAAAGCTTTGTGCCAGGACTGTTTTAACCCAAGCAGTATACACACTGTATCTATCTGTATTTGCATGCATGTGTGTGTATATGCATGTGCATATCTGTGCATGCAGGTACAAACAAAGTGTTATATATAAACTGTCAATCGACATTTCATCACTGCAGAGAAACAAACACAAACCCCAAACTCACTAAGCCAGAATTTCTCAACATTAGTAAGACTGCAATAAAAGCCTCGCTATAGAGAGGTGGGGCTGCAGGACTCAAAATCCATACATTTTTTCAGTTTCTGCAGCTGGGTCCTATATTTGTCATTAATTGAACTTAACCTAGGATAGCCTTCAAAATTCTGGGTGTTTGAGATTCACAATCTGAATCTGAATTCTGCAATCTGAAATCCTTAATGATGTGTAGGACTTAAAAACCCATGTCCCTCTCAAAAGACTTTTGGGAGAGGACCGAAACAATGTCCTTGGGAGCCAGTCTATTAAAGCAGCTGAAAGACAAAAGTATAGCAAAGCAATGGGGAATAACTCAGGTAGAGCCACTTCTGCAGCAGTGTGGGCTAATTCTCTAGAGAAGGAGTTTGAAGACTCATGAATGACAGAGTTCATCTAGCTGGAAGGACTGACCCTAAGGGAACTGCACAGTTTGATAGGAAGGGATGCAAATAGGCACGTGTGTGGATTCAAAGAAGCTCGTGAAGTTCTTTGTTTTCCACATGGGCCATGCGTGGCAAAGAGATAGTAGAGTTCAGCCACTGCTTTCACTGATGATCAAATCAAACCTATTCTCCAAGAAACTTCAGAGCAAGCAGGCTGAGGATGGTATTAGATACTAAAAAGTGAAGTGCAGTGTGGTATAATCATTTGTCTTCAGTGAGTTTTGGCCTGACAACCTGAGATTGTGCAACTTTTTTCTTGGAGACCCAGCTCAGAGGTGGTCTAGTCTCAGAAGGTTCAAATTTCAGACCATCCTTTAAGTTGCCAGGACTGTGTTGGTGTAATGAATTAGCAGCCTGACATCTGTGAGCTCTGCTTGTGGCTCTTTTTTCTAATTTGTTTTTATTTGTCCTGATGCTACACATATTCTTGGAAGCTACAACGTTGAGGTATATGACCAAATTTCAAAGATCCCAAACTTCTGTGCAGTTTCTCTCTCTCTGTTTTTGATTTGGCTAAGTATTAGTTAACAAGTAACTAATAGGCATTATTTGCAAAATTCAGTTAAGTTGGAATTTTTCAAATATATGGCTTTTCTCCACTTCCAACATGTTGGGGAATATGTCTGCTAGCTCTGCATAGCCCCTACAGCTGGAAGAATGGGGAGGGGGAGAAGAAAGTCGCTTTCTGCTCAGGTCTGTGAATCATCAGCAGAATGAGTAATTAAATTCTGATGGTTGAAATCTTAGCTTGGCATTTTAGCTATTTGTATTGGAATATGGGGCATGAAAGTCAAAGCTATGTTTGTGACACTGACTATTGGACAATAACTGTGAAACAGGCCAGCTTGCAGTGGAATAGTTGCAAGAAACCAGCTCCCACAATAATATTTTTAAAGAACTGTTTTTCAAAGTGTACCTTTCAGGGTATGTGCCATCTGCCAGAAAAAACATTTGTACTACAGCTAAAACAGTTTCCTGTCCCAGGTGAAGTGTTTTTTTAGATAAGTAGTTGGAAAAACATACAACACTATTAAACCCTGGGACAAGTAACTCCAGACCATGCTGAGTTTCTCAGACTTGAACACTTACCATAGTGTTATGGTTTAATAAAAACAGCAGGAGAAAAAAACAAAACAAAACAAAGTTTGCATGGGATCTCTGAAGATGTCTAGGAGATTTGAATGCCAAATTCCCATCAGAAAGACTAGCAAATGTAACAATCCTACCTCAGGGCATCTGATCATATGCCTTTGTGCATACCCTCAGTCAGACATGCACTAGTGCTGCCAAGCCACCTGGCTTGCTTCCAGTTTTAGGACACCAGCACCAATATAAAACAGGTGTGCCAGCTAGCAGGACATGCTGAGCCTCGAAATGTGGTAACATTGGCAAGTACCCCAATACGATGAATGGGTGTAATCCATATTGGAACTTCATTTTATCGATCATAACTATACAGATCCTGACACCTACATACCCACTGGAAACAATCTGATGGCTATGTGGGGGCTCATGGAAGCGACTGGGAAGAGGTTTTAGCCTAATTCCTGGCTGACTGATGTTCATACTGCACATAAGTTTTCCAACATGAGGCTGTGAAACCTTCCCTGTTGGAAATGATTGTTTGAGTCTAGAAATTTTACCTCTTAAACAAAAGCACCAAAAAAGAATAATGCAAAACTACCATAAACTTTCTTTTCCACGTATTCCTACTAGGAGGGAGATATGACTTCATTTAGGTAATAAGATTCAGATGAACAAGTTACTTACAATGAGCCGCCTTTTGCCTTCAAAATATTCCAGGAGGTCGGTCACTGATTTCCTGGGAGGCTGTAGGAAAGGCTTCTTGTTGGGCTTGGGGAAATCCTCATTTTCTGTCCTGCTCCCCTTCTTGTTCTTCTTGCTACGATCTTTGTCCTGCTTGCTCTTTTTCTCAGCTTTGTCCTTCTTGGACTGCTTCTCACTCTTCTGCAGCTTGTCAGGTCTGTCCTTCTTCTTCTTCTTCTCAGGTTTATCCATTCTCTCATGCTTCTTTGATTCTTTTCCTTTCTTTGGGGGAATATGTCCCGCTGCAAACTCTTCCTCTAAATGGGAACTAGCAGGCTTGCTTGGGTCATATTTATCTTCATATTCATTGCTCAGTATCTTTTCTTGGGCCTTCTTTTTTGGTGGTTTAGTCTTAGTTGGTTTGTGTTGCCCTGGTGTGACATTCAGGTCCCTATGGTTGTAGTCCTTTCTGTCTGTTCGGTTATCTTTAAATCTACCCACATTTGCCTTTGTATAGTGCACTGAGGGAACTGTTGGGACTTCTGTGAAACCGTCATAGCGGGCAGCTTTGCTTGGTTTCCGTGTGGCTGCTGGGTGTTTCTCCGGGTGGCCGCGCTGCCGGTCCCTGCGGTTTGCCTTCCACACAGGAGAGTAGAAATCCTCAGAGGCTGTGACTCGTGGTGTGGTGGCATCAGGGGCTACTGGCAGCCTATGGTACTCTGTGGTGGAATGTGACTTTGTGGTCCAGGTCCTCTGCGTGGTGGGGAGAGGTGTAGTTGTTGTCGTAGACCGGCTTGCTGTTGTCACCGCGCGGGTGGTGGCACGGGTAGTTGTGGTGGTGGGAGGGAGGGTAGTGGTCCTTACTGTAGGCACAGTAGTGGCCGCTGTGGTTGTCACTGGTTTCCTCACTGTTTTGGCCCTTGTTGGCTGATTATTGCTCTTCCTTGGCTCCTCCTTCCTTGCTGACACCTGGACATCTCCATTACCTGGGGTAGGCTGGGTGCTGCCCCCGTTGTTGCCTTCGTCAACCACTTGTCCCTCCACTCCAGCTGCTTTGCAAGTCTGGATGAAGCCCTTCTGCCTCATCTTCTCAATTTTTCTGATGGGGCTCTGATCAATGACTTCGTACATGGCCTCTAGCCTGACTGGATAAGGGTACCTCTCCTCCACCTGCAGAGTTTTCTTCAAGAGCACCATGCCAAATTTCCCCTTCTCCAGTTTCAGAAAGCTCATGAGTTTAGGGATGAGGGCTGGATCTAGTGGCTGCTCCAGGATTTTTCCTTCGTTGGTTATCCTTCTGACTTTTCCCCCTTCTCCCCCTTCTTCATGGAACAACACAATCTGCTGGATGTGCCTCTCAGCCAGTTCGCAGTAAACATCGTTTTTCAGGAGGCTCATCATGAGCCGGTAGTAGCCCTCAGAGGCATGGGGGGCAGAAATGACCCACACTCGATTTTTTCCAGCAAAGCTGGCCAGGACATTGGGGGAACTTGACCCTGAAGGGAAACGTACCACTCGTGACTGCGAGGCAGAGGATATCCCTTCGTCCTTAATCATATCGGACTTGGAGTATTTGGCTGCAGCTGTGAGTCTCTGTACTCGTCTTGTTCTGGTCCCCATGCCCCTGGCCTGGGAACGCACTTCCCCTTGCAGGAGATTGGCAGGTGCCTTTGGAGGTGCTGAATAATCTCTCTTGGTGACAGGGTGTTGAGGATTTGGGCTTGACTTCCTCAGGGATGCTCCAGACCTTCTCAGGACGCTGCTTGGAGCCCTGTAAGCCAGGGGCACTTTCCTAACTCCGTGGCTTCCTCTCTCCGCTAGCCTCCCTGTCTTCTCAGAGCCACACACTAGCCACGCTGCCCACAGCAGGGCTAAGCTGAGAGCTGGCCTCCAGTTCATTGTGCAATCTGCTTGAGGGGAGGAGGAGAAAGAGAAAAAGTTAGCTCTTAACAGTATGATGATATCTTGCGTAAGTGATAAAGAAAGCAAAGCACAGGCTGGCTAGTTTTTGTGATTTAAAAGTGCTGATTATACCTGAATCCTGCCCTGGTGGCTTTGTACAGTTTACAGTTATTTTTGGAAAGGTGCAAAATGGATCAGTTTATGCAAAAATGAGATCATCTGTCTGTAACATGACTCTGTCTATCCAAAAGGACACTGTGATCTGCATCCTTCTCTCTCTCTCTCTCTCACACGCTCACACATACACGCATGCAAACACGCACAGAGAAAGGGTTTGGTACATAGAGCATAGAGCCAAGAATTTGACTTGAGACTTACACTCTCAGGGAAGTTCTCCTTCCAGAGACGAGGTTTCACGTCTTTTTCCTTTAAAAGGAGACCAATGCCATACAGCTTTGCTGCTGCCCAATGATTTATCTTTATACAGCCCAACAGGTCCCAGAGCCTGTCCGTCTCCCCGTGTATCTTTTAACTTTCTTTCTTCTTTACCTTCTTGACAAGGGGGTTGAGGGTAGCGGAAATTTCCTTTGGGATCTCTGCTTCTCCATTTACCTGCAGGTCTGGCTTTTTGCTGTACCAGTTCCTCACACAGGCAGGGATTTCATTCAAGAAAAGGGAACTCCCGGCTGCTCCGAGTCTCTCTCTTTTAAACTTCCCAAGCCTCCTTGCCACTCCTAGCTTCCTCAGTCCCGTTTACCTCCTTTGTTTCCAGAGAGGAAAGCACTGGCATTAATATATTTTCCAGGCTGAAGAAAAACACAGGAATGTGATGCCGAAAAAAAAAGGACGCTTCCCTTTCCCCTTTCTCCACACTTCAACAAAAGCAAACTGTAAAAGACTTGTCTTTTCTTCTCTTTCCTTTCTTGGCTGGCCGTGGTCCCAGAAATGTCAGGGTAACCCCAGCCCTGCTCCAAACCAGCCTCAAACAACGGTGGCCACTGGAAATGGGGGAAACTTCACTCAGGATTTAACAGCTCAGCAGAACCCGCCTCCTCCCCACTCGACACAGGGAGGGAGGAGGAGGAGGAAGGCTCTGGGGGCTGAAATACTGCACAGCATCACAGAGCACTTCAGAGAGGGTGACTCCAGCCTTAACTCTTTCCTTCACGCATCCCAGCTCTCTGGAGCTCCCCAACCTCGGCTTTCCCTTTCCTTCCATTAAACGGACACCGTCTAGATAAAAAGTAGTCCTGTGGGAAGTGTGTTTCCACATCGGTGTCCATAACAGCTCTGGTGTTTAAAAGTTATTGTTTTTCAACCCCATTATTTCTGTCTCCTGTTCCCCTCTTCCTTGTTTGTTTGCTTTCTGGGAGTTGTCCAGTGAAATCTTATTTCTCTTCGCTTTCCAACCAATTTGCCTTTCAGGTCCTCTATGGGCATGGCTCTTTGTTAATTTGTAGTTTTTAAACAGATCAGGTTGTTTATTATTGTATTAAAATTAGAGTGATACGTATTTCCCATGAATGTGCACTAGCAGTGAAGAAAAAAAAAAAAGATAAAAGGTGCAAAAATACCTACAGAGACATGGGTAAAGACAGGGTCATGTCCTTTGCTCTCCCTTCATGGTGTAAATGACACCATTCTATTGAGATGACGTAAACTGGCACAGCTATGCTGCCAGCACCTGGTCTTTAGCATATTCACACTGGCTTCAGTGTGTCATGCACCTTCAGTGTAGAACACCACTTAATTGTAGTTAATGGATAACACTTAAAAACATCCAAGACCTTAATACTACTTTTACTGTTTTCCACAATTTCTCTTATTTACAGAGATGCTGTTACATTTCCGTGATAA